TCATTTGAAGAGACTTTTTATAAAACATAATTCACAATTTAAATATGATTCTCAAGCATCATTCATTTTTAAGTTTCAACAAGTTAATAAAGTGACACATAATTCACCATACAATACCATGATAACTAATTATTTGTACATAGTTACTAGCTAATACTGAGCTATTAAATTAATAAGTATTGTATCTCGTAAACGTGAAAAAATAATAATTAGAAAAATAATTATAAAAAAAAAAATTATGGACTATGATATAGTAAAGACATAACAATAGTTAATAAATAAATACTTTTAAAATGAAAGATTTATTTAAAATTTACTATCATAGTAGTCTTAGTGGATAACGTGCAATAATTTTTATTTTAATTATGACAAAACTCCCAACTTAACAATTTATACTTAGGAAAAAAGTAATTTTGAGTAGTGAACGATTTATTAAGAAATTTGAAGATTTACAAGGTTAGTTACATACAATTGCATAAAGTTCTATTAGGCGAGCCCAGTACGCTGGGCGTTGGGCGTGTCCGGGGCATAAGCCCCGATGGCTGAGGCGTAAGTCTCTCACGGAACTAAGCCCCACACATAAGTCCGGGGGCGTTTTACGAGTGCTCCGCCCCGGGGCGAGTCCCAATTCTGCCTTTTAAAACAGAGGATGGATGTTCTTCCTTTTTAATTTATGTTATTAGATTCACCTATATAAGTAATTAAATTTTATTTATGGAGTAAGAAAAAAGGTAAACGTATAGTAGTCAAACCACATTAGTTCATAATTTTGGACAATGAAAACATTACAAACAATAAAATATTGTTTAAAAAATAAGCTAAATTTTCTCATATCAGTAATTTTGTTTACCACAATCAGAAATCTATCTGCAAAACTGGAAATAAAAGAAAGCGGACAACTTTAGCACTTAATAGATAGAAGTGTTGAGAATAGCAGTAGCTAATAGACTTTATGAGAAAATTCATAAAAAAATATTTCCTATTTATACTCCGAACAAATTTGAAATCATAATTTAAAATGAGATATGCCGTAATTTGAATTATGTCTAAAATATTTATGGTGAAAAAATTATTAAAACCTTACAAAACAAAAATATATTTACATACTAGGAAAATTGATTATGCAAAATATAAAGTTTGACATTATTTAGGACAAAAGGAGAACGTTTTTCACTCCTCAAAATTCAAATAAACAAACATAAGGAGATTTAAGTTATATATACTCACATTATAAAAAAATTATATTATCACTAATTTTTAATGTATGATAATATGTTAGCTACTATTTTCGTAATAATTTCGGGAGAAGGTGGACGTGGTCTCCATGGATGACAAGTTGAGGGAAGCGAGACTCAGATGGTTCGGGCATGTTCAGATGAGAAGCTAATATGCCTCGGTAAGGAGGTGTGAGCGGCTGGATTTGGTGGGTACGAGGAGAGGTAGAGGGCGGCCTAAAAAATGTTGGGGAGAGGTGATCGGGCATGACATGGCGTGGTTTCGGATTACCGAGGACATGACCCTAGATGAGAAGTTGTGGAGGTCGAGGATTAAGGTTGTAGGTTAGGAGGTAGTTGTGCTGAGACTAGTCTGATAGGATTTTGTCTTAGATTGCTAGTGGTTAATATTGTGTTCACACAACTCTTTCGTTTCTCATAGTGCCGGACCTTATCTAGTGGTTATTGTTTTGCTTTTCATCTATTTTCTGGTTCTTGTGATGCTGTTAATTTTTCTATGGTTTCTGTTGATGATACTGGTATATTGCCTCTTTTCGTCTTCTTTTTGTCTTCTTGAATCGAAGGTCTATCGGAAACAGCGTCTCTACCCCCTTCGATTAGGGATAAAGGTTGCGTACACACTACTCTCCCCAGATTCCACAAGTGAAATTTCACTGAGTCGTAGTTGTTGCTGTTTTGTACTTATCACGATATTTAACTCTAGTTACCCAAATGATATGATTGCATAAAATAATTTCATACTATCAATACATACAATTTAAACTAGTAGGAAGAGGAAAAGAAAAACAAATATGTCACACTTTCATTCACCAAAAAAAGACCTCTAGTCTTCCCCCAATTATTCACTTTCCTATCTTCTAAATTCTGCAAGACTCCAAAAGGATAAACTCTTCCAAAGTTTCAAACTCACCCCCACTTTTTCTGCCCCAACCCCTACTCCAACTCATAAAAAATAGTTAAAAATTCTACAAAAATAAAAAATAGTAACAAAAAAATATCACACTACCACATAAAAATAAGACCTCTTCTTCCCCTATTCTTCACTTTCCCCTCTTTGTCAAACACACTGCAAAACTCCAAAACCAAAACTCTCCCAAATACCCACCACCCTTTCTCCTCCCCCTCTCCACCACCACCACCGCCACCGCAAAAATGGGGAAAGGCGCCGCCTTGTCAAACGGATTATTGAAAAAGATCGTTCTTTCCTACACCTATGTAGCAATCTGGATCTTCCTTTCCTTCACTGTCATTGTGTACAACAAATACATTCTTGACCGTAAGCTCTACGGCTGGCCATTTCCCATTTCTCTAACAATGATCCACATGACCTTTTGCTCTTCCTTAGCTTTCCTTCTCGTGCGTGTCTTCAAAGTTGTTGAACCTGTTTCCTTATCTCGTAATGTTTATCTCACTTGCATACTTCCTATTGGTGCACTTTACTCTGTTTCCCTTTGGCTTTCAAACTCTGCTTATATTTACCTCTCTGTTTCCTTTATTCAAATGTTGAAAGCCCTTATGCCTGTTGCTGTTTATACTATCGGGATCTTGTTCAAAAAAGACACTTTCAAGAATTCTACTATGGGTAACATGATGGCTATTTCTGTCGGTGTTGCTATTGCTGCTTATGGTGAAGCAAAGTATGATTCTTGGGGTGTTTTACTTCAGTTGCTTGCTGTTTTGTTTGAAGCAACTAGGCTTGTTATGATCCAGATCTTGTTGACTTCAAAGGGTATTAGTTTAAATCCAATTACTTCTTTGTACTATGTTGCTCCTAGCTGTTTGGTTTTCTTGTCAATCCCTTGGATCTTTGTTGAGCTTCCAGTTTTGAGAGAGAGCTCGAGTTTTCAGTTTGATTTTGCTATTTTTGGGACTAATTCACTGTGTGCGTTCGCTTTGAACTTGGCTGTGTTTCTTTTGGTTGGAAAGACTTCAGCTTTGACTATGAATGTTGCTGGGGTTGTTAAAGATTGGCTACTTATTGCATTTTCTTGGTCGGTGATTAAGGATACTGTGACTCCAGTGAATTTGATTGGTTATGGATTGGCATTCTTAGGAGTTGCATACTATAATCATCAGAAGTTACAGGCATTGAAGGCAAAAGAGGCACAGAAGAAAACTCAGCAAGCAGATGAAGAAGCTGGGAGATTGTTGACTGAGAGAGAATCTAATGGATCAGCTGATGGAAAGAAGGGTGATTCACAGGCTTAAGTTGAATCTAATTGACAAAAGGGTATCAAAATAAACCTTATGAAATTGGCTGGAAAGTATAAGATTTGGGGTTTTTCCTCAAGTTGACTTGTGCTTTTGGTATGGATTTGGGGTTTTGAGTATGTAGGTTGGATGATCTGTTACTGTTCTTTGATAGATCAGTTTCATTTCATATGTAGGCTTATTTGGGATATCCACATTTCTTTGTTTACACTGCAGATTCAATTCTTGTATCTTATTAGTTGAGTTAAGATCTGAGATACCCTTATAGCTGTTTTGATATTATGAGTACTATTTTTACTTTTTCTTCCTCTTCTTCTACTCTCTGCATGTTTAGGTTCTTGTTGATGTTACCAACGACTGGTCTTAGATAATTTATTTACAATATTTCCTTTATCAGATTTGTGTTCTTTTCTCTTCTAATCTGATATTTGGGCCACGGTTGAGGTAATTCTCCATTTGGATCTGCTTCATAGCTGAGTCTCAAGTCATAACTGATCTGTGAATTCTTGCTTTGAAGTAAACGGTTTTGCTCAGGCTTAGAGTAGAAGGTGAAGTGAAATCCGTCTGTTGAAGTGGAGAAAGTTTAGTGAGACTAATTAATGTTATGAACTGTCACCATTTTTTCTATGTTGGATTTGCATTAATGGCTGTTCTTTGCAGTAAGTTTTCCTGTGTCATTACTTGTTCTTAACTGTGGGGATTTAATGCATGTCAAATGTATTTGGGACACGTACTTGGTGGGCTTAAAGCCCGAGTAAAGCTTCATAGCTTTAGTTGTTTCCTTTTCAGCTTAGGGAGGTTGTGTATGGTATCCTACATTGATTGTCCTTGTGAAAAATGTATCCTACATTGATTGAAGGATTTGAGTGTTGTTTTCTTGTAGGGTCTTGACCTGTTGTTTTCTTATGAGGTCTTGAGCAATTCTCAAGTGATGAACTAGTTTTTCTGATTGAGTTAGGTTCAAGATCTATTTTCATCGCATGGTATTATGTTATTGTGTTTTTCTATGTTGGGTCTCCATGTTATATGTTATTCATATTTCAGTTCCCCCGACCTGGGACGCTACGTCTTATAGTATCCCAGATTGGTTGAGAGATCGGGGTTATTGTCTCCTTGTACAGTTTTGGCGTCCTCCTCACCGGGGTTAAGTTAGATTCAAGGTCTATTTTCGAGTATCGTCATTTTGACTAGCCTGTAGATAGTTCTTGAAAAAGAAGAAGGCAAGATAGAGATGAAAGGAAACTTACTTTTCTCTAACTTGGTACTTTTCATGTTTCCCTTTAGGTTAGGACAGCACAGCTCTTCAAAGTTAACCACATTTTTTATCTTCTTCTTGGAGGGTTTTTTTTTTTTTGGGGGGG